ACAAACTAGCCACTAACTGAATTTTCAGTAACAAAGTTTTTTTTTTTTCCCCCTGAAAGCTAGTAGAGTTTCACTTCTACTTCTTTTATGGGTAGCCAAATTATGACCCACGCTAACAGTGGAGGTGGGGTTGTAAGTGTGGGGTTGTTAGTACTGTGAACTATTTTACTCGATCATTTCAAAGATAATTCATATGGTTGGTTTGTGGCTTTTTCTGTGGCATAACATTTAGATTTTCTTTTGTAGTGCTGCAAAGAAAGATGCTTTGGAAGAAATATGAAAAAATATCCATATGTTTTTATTATTGGAATAAGAAGTTTTATTTTTGCCGTTTTCTTATGTTATCAAAGAATACTCCAGATTCTCCACTTTTATATTGCTACTTATTAATGCATAGATGGCAAAAAGATAAATTGTGGCATTGGTTCTGAAGCTCAATAAATGTGGTAAGATAATTTTAAACAGAGTTCTGCTTAGGCTTTTGCTCTTAATTGAGCCTGTGACAAAATAAGTCAAAATCTAAAAGCATTTCTCTTAACCATAGAATTTTCTTTTTACAAAATTACAATTGCCTTTGAAATTATATATAAATATTTTAAATTTAAACATTTAGTACACATCAGGGAATGAAATGAAATGCTTTGTGTTTTCATTTTGAAATTAGAAAAAAAAGTCAGGAAACAAAATAGCATATAAATCTGTTAAAAATCAGATATAACATGGTAGATTGCCTGACCAGTCAGGAAACAGAACCAATTCACTAAAAATAAGGGTCATCATGTTAAACTATTAGCATCTATATGACCTTTAGATCCCTAATTAAAGTACTGATTTCAGGCTAATATAGTCTACTTTGAGCATATGTTATAGGGAAGGTCAGTTTTGGAATTCTCAACAGAAAGAAATATGTGCCACATTTACTTGCATATTTCTCTTCCACCGTAACAAAAAAGTATTTTGTTGCTAAAGAGTGATTGGGAGGAAGTCAGAGGTATGGAATTATTGTCATGTCCCTCTGACAGTGAAACCTAGCAGGCATAGTATATACCATGTTCCCATGATACTGCATAGCTGTAGACACTAGAGAAGTTCCCTGTACAGCCAAGGCTATGAAGGTTTGATAAGTGCAGGGAAAATGCTGTTGTTACTAACAACAACAATAACTAGCATTTATATGGTAACTAGCATTTATATTGTTTGTAAAGTGCTTTACATATGTTAACTCATTGCATCTTCACGATAACCCTGTGAGGTAGGTGCTATTCCTATTTTACAGAAGAAACTGAGGCACAGAGAGGTTAAAGGATTTAGCCCATGTTGGCTAAGTAAATGAATGAGGCAGGATTTGAACTCCAGTCTTACTGATTCCATGTCCCACTTTCTCTCCACTGTGCCACCTATCTGCCCCCAATAAATAGTAATTACAGTGATTTTTCCCAGTTTTCATTTTTGTTCACTGTTATGTGTTATACTTACCAATACCCAATTAATCCAAAAGATAATGAGCCACTTACACAAATAAGCAAAATGATGAATATAATATGGTTATTCCAGAGTCTTTTCAAGGGAAATCATGGGTGGGTTAGCAGAGTTAATCAAAATTTCATAGGGCTTTAAAAAATATTTAAACTTTGGATATCCCTACCAAAACACATATGCCATTCAGTGCCACGAATTCCAGCTTTTATCAGGAAAGTCAGCAGGATAGGTCCCCTCAGTACTGTCGGGAAAACACATCACCATTTTCTGTGAATATTATGTCAGTAAGAGTTTTATTTCCCCCACAAAACAAGAGTGACAATTCATATTAAGCCATGATATCAGCAGTTTTTAATATTTTTTGTGTCATGGATGCTTTTGACAGTCAGGTGAATCCTGTGGACATTATTCTCAGAATAATATCTTTTAATGCATGAAATATAGTGTTACAAAAGAAACCAAATACATAGAAATATAGTGATAAAAATTTTTTTAAGTTCATAGGTCCCACAGTTAAAAACTCTTGATCTAGATCACAACTCTATTCAGTGCAAGAATTGGTTCTCTATGTGCTGTAAGTGATAAGTTAAAAATCCTTAGGTTTATTCAGGTCATTAGGGATTTAGGACAACTGTTGTGCTAAAGGCAGCTTTGGGGATGCAAAGATGTGATGTAGGGAATAAAGGAGAAAATTTAAGTAATTTTCCTCAGAATAGTGTTGGGGGAAAAAAGGAAAATACTTGAAGAGGAGAAATAAGTGAATAAATATGGTCTGTTTATATGTATGTAGAAATAAATATTTTAAATATCCCACCAGATGCCCCAGATTTAAGAATGATCAAGTTAACTTATTTTCAATTTGAGGATTCAGAGTAAGCTATGTTATTGTCCTGTTACTGCCATACTCCTGCTGAGGAAGGAAGGGGGTATAAATCTATTAAATGAAAAGGAGAAAATAGAGTTTGAAACAGCTAAAAACACGGTTATATACGAATCTCTGGTGGGGAAGAACATAAGAGCCAATCTTTCTTCTTAACATAAACTTTTCACTAGTTACTTTTGCCCCCATGTCCAGTACATTATAAGTAGACCGTGATTCTGATAAGGGTTCTCTTCCTACCCATTTGTTTCTGCTGTATAGGCTTGTTGGCATCTGAATGACCTTGGTGAACACAAAATGCACATGTAGATTTTAAAAACATTTTCTGCATTTTTTTGAGTAGAGAACCCTATATGTAAAGATTCTTAATATTTCAGAAAAAAGTACATTTTTTGAATTGTCTGACATCAAAAGAATGAGTGGCACTAATTAATAACATCCAGTGTTAAAAACAATAAAACTTTCCTATCAACCAACAAGCCCATGATTATATTTATGTTACTCAGGTTTGCAAGAGGGGAAACCATTAGCAAATTTGGTTTATGGTTATATATTGCAAAGCAGAACACCGTTGTTAGCTTAAATAAGACCTGTGCTTTGCTTCTAGAGATTAACATGTGAAAACACTGACAGTCTCAACCTATGACAGTTAAAGAAACTCTTCACATACTGTGGAAATACAGTCATTGTCATTCAGTACCAGACATTGGACAATCTACAATGAAGGCAGAAGATTTTATTTCAAAGAAACAAATGGTTATTTTAAAAGTGAAATTATAGAGAGGATCCTGATGAATGAATTTGCATGTATGTTTATTTGTGTTTACAAAGGAGACTGCCATCTTTTTAAAGGGATTGTATCTCATGAGAACTGTCTGGAACATACTTGCTTTGTGGTAGGAAGTAGAGTATGATGAGAATTGGGAGCCCTTGCTTATAGTCAGTTTTTTATCACTGTGACTGAGCAAATCACTCATCTTTAAAAGGAGAGGATTGAATTAAATGGATTTCTAAGATCTTCACAAGCTGTCTTTGTTTGATGGTAATTATTATTTAATGAATTTGAAGTATGGCTTTAAAAATATTAAGGCCAAAAGGAAAGGGACTGGACCTATAATTTTTTTACCATGGGAAACTCCCTTTACAAATGCAGGTCTTCAACTCAAATTATAGTCTTAGAGAGTTTCCTAGAATGTTGAGAGATTAAATGACTTGCCCACGGATAGTATATACTTAAGAGTTGGAACTTGAACTTGTATCTTCTTATCTTTGAGACTGGCTCTCCAGCCTTCAAACTGTGCTGCCTTTTTTATGGAGAAATCAGTATAAAATTCATTTGCACATTATTTTTAGTCTACAAAATTTTGTAATTGTGTTAAATTTGAAATTTAAATAGCGGTCTTATGATTAAAAGCCAAAAGTTGACTAATGATAGAACACATTTTTCACTTCCAAATTCTTTGACATGTGAATGAAATGATTGGAAGAATCCACAATTGAGACCTTAGACTAAAGGGAACACATTTGTCAAGTTTTATTAGATTTTCTAAAAAGCCTTAGTCTTGTACATAAGAGGCAGTGTAGTACACTGGTTAGAGTGTGGGACTGAGTGTTAGAAAAACCTGGGTTCAGGTCTTGTCTCACAGTTATAGCTATGACCATGTTGGCTAAGGCAAATCATTTAACCTCTCTGAGCCTTACTTTCTTCATCTGGCAAATGAGGGGAGGGAATGTACCACGTGGCCTCTGAGGTCCTTTCCAGCTCTAAATCTACGATCCTGTATGCAAAATGTATTTTGTATCTTTCAATGAGGGAAAATAGCTAAGTCCTGGATTCATATGCTTTGGCTTTAATTAGGTTTTAAAATTAAAGACAGTGTCATACTGACTCATATTTTCATTTTATATGTGAACAGTCTTGTAAGTTAAAGCTCTTCTATAGAATTTAATCTCTGACCCTGATATCAGCAATCTTAGTCACTTGTAAGGGAAAAGGAAAAAGGTCTGTTTATCAGTTAAAAGACCAGTTAAGGTACAGAAAAAAAGAACAGCTAATTAGTATGAATGTTCTTTTGCACTCCTGTATTTTGGATTTCATGTGACTGAAATGACATAAATCAGAGAATGGATTATAAATTTATTCTTAGTATTTTAAAGAAAAAAGTTGGTTGGGGTTGTGACTACTGCCAAGGTACAAGTCTGCATTAAAAAATTAAGCATGATTTTTAATTGTATGAGCATTAGTAAAATTTAGTCTCTAACCTTTAATTGTAGGTAAAATGCTTTTTCCTCACTGTTACAAGACAAAGTTAAGTACAAACTGTTGCATTTTGGTAGCATTAAGCAAGTGCCACAAACTAACAAAATTAGAAGATCTATATAAAACTAGTAGTAGTATTTAGCTCCCACTTTTGGTTTGGCTTTAATACATTATATGTTTTTGTATTTCACAAGTTAGGGAGTGACAAGTTTAATTTTTAGTTCTTTAGTTTGCATTTTTCCTTGGGCTTAGCTTAGCCTCAGTAATAATAATATTTAAAATAAGATGGATCTTTTTTTTTTGAGGTTTTTAACAAGTTCTTTGCAGATTAGAAAATATGTAGTGGGACCAAACTTTTTTTTCCCCTTTTGGTTTATTTAGAAGACATGCAATATCTGCCAGATGCTGCTTCCTAACCAGTGCAGTTTTGCATCACACCAGAGAATCCATCAGCACAAATCTCCATATACGTGCCCTGAGTGTGGGGCAATCTGCAGATCGGTCCACTTCCAGACCCATGTCACCAAGAACTGTCTGCACTATACTCGGAGAGTTGGTTTTCGGTCAGTATGTCATTTGCTTGTGTGCAAGTAATATTTATTTGTTTGTTATTAGATCTCATTTTGAGTGGTCCATGCACACAGTGCCTTGCACATAGTAGGTGCTTAATAAAGGTTGGTTGAATTCAATTAAGCTGAATTATCACAGTTTTCATTGGTATACAGTGATACCTCAATTAACGAATCCTCTGGGAACAATTTTTAAACTTTGTTGTAAGCTTTCTGTAAAGTAACAATGATGAAACAAATGAAAAAACACATATATACTGAGCATCCTTTTTGTGCACCTTGGGTCTCAGTGGCAGTGTTCTGCTAAGTGACGCATTATGTAGAGCTATGCAAAAACAAACAAACTAAACTTCAGCACACAGCTTTTGCGTGGAGCACAGCCAGAAACAAACAGAGCTAATGCTAGGCAATATTGTTAAATTGGTGAAGTTTTTCTTAGGTGTCCTTCTTTTACTCTTCTTTTTCCGTGTTGATATAAGCTCTTTCACTTCACTTAAATCATATAGTATCTTCTTTCACTGTAAGAAAAGATCTGACGTTTGTACTGTTACCACCAGTCTCTTCTTTAAGACTGGAGCCTTAGGGCCCATCCTACTGGACAGATCCCTTCTGGAGCTCTCCCTGTCCTCTCATCTTTTGGATAGAGTATCGCTTACCTCCCCAAACCCCTAACCTTAATTTTTTTTTCTGTGTTCCACAATGTCTAGATATACAGTTTGCTTTCCGACACAGCATTTGATATTTACAAACTAATTCCTTTACTTTTTGATATGTGCTGCTTAGAATCTGCCTCCGGCAATGACATTTCTGAGAACAAATCTTATAGAATACATGCTCCTTGTTAATAGAGGTATTACTGTATTTTATATCAAACATGAAATAAGTATTGTGTATGTGTGGTACTCATATTCAAAGTGTTATACTCAAAGATGGTTTTATTATTATAAGCTTTGTTACTTAAATGCACTAAAATTAAGTTGTGCCAACAATGGGATAATTTTGTGGGAGCTCAGTTTTGCTCATGGTTGAATTCTGAATCCACAGTAGCCTTTTCCCTTTCCTAATATCTGAAACTATGAGGTTTGCCCTACATTTATACTGTAGTCCCTATTTTACTACAGCCTCACTTTTTTCTACAAAAGCCTGATATGTTGTTTTATTTCATTCAGTATCTTGTGGAAAGAGCCCTGGGCTAGAAATCAGGAGACCCGAGTTTTTTAGTTCTGGCTTTGCCATCAACTTGGACAAGTCACATAACTGAGTTATGCATGATGCCCCAACCCATAAAATAGGGGTGTTGATATCTTAACTCCATAACAATATTATTAGATTAAAAATGAAATAATTGCTATGAAAACCATTGGGTTGTTATAAAGAAAGGTATAAATCTGAGGTAGCTTAATTATTATGTTAAATGTATTAACAAAAAATTAACATAAAAATTCTATTTTTTAGTTGTCATATACTTTTAATGGTTACTATGATATTAATATTTCCTAATAAAAATCAACTTCAAACATTTTCCCGTAGATTTTAACAGGTTCTAAATTTTGCTACTGAGATATACATACATATATATATAGAGAGATAGTTTAAATATTAACTGAAATATTATTATGTCTGGAGCATGTTAGAAGTAGAAGATGTTGAAATGAATTCAGAAGGAAAAGTGGAATTAACTGATTTTAACTACACCTTATTCTTTTTCTAATTCTCAGAATTATCCCTATGAGTATACTGAAAGAAATAAATTAGCTTATAAATTCTGTCCTTGACTCTTTCACAGAATTGTAACCTCATTTACTTTTTTCAAGTTACTTGAAAAGGACCATTATTTTGCATTATAACTTTTAGTAAAAATCTTTTTAAACAGCAAATTTTCGTCTTGTCCTGAGGCTGTGGACCTATAGAGATATGCATGTCTTCTCTACAATATAGTTTGTAGATAGAGTATGCTGGTAAATGTTAAAAATTGGCTCTCAGAAAAATAAGCATGATATACTTTTAAGTTAGTGTGCATTATTAACACTTTCTTCATCACTCTCTTAAGCCTAAACCATCAAACATAACAAAAAGTCAAACCCTTATTTGTAGTTTGCTGGTTTTCAAGTTGTAAGCTCACCCTGAAAATTTAGTAGTTGGCTCTTGTGAGATCTCATTTGAGCCATCTCAAACACTCCACTGTTTGTACATTGTGCCTTTTATAAAGGAAAAAAAAATACTCCTCTTTAATCACAGAATTTTCAAGTTGTGGTCTACCATACCTAAATCTCTTGCCTAAATACTTTTCTGTTACTAACATAGATACACTCTCTCCTATGGCCACACTCCCAACCCTCAACCCAAGCAATGCAATTAATTTTCAACATTGCTTGCATGATGGTGGTTAATGGTGACTAATACTTTGACTTAATGATAAAGACTGCTTCCACCCAGTTCTCCCATTCCATAGTGTGTTTAACAATATAAAGTGACCTTTGGATCACTGGCTTTGGTCAGCTAGGTGCCTGTAGTTCCCACCCACTTGTTACACTGGATCTACTTCTGGTGGCTTTTTCTTTACACAGAAACTTTCTTCATTGGAATGACTGTATCTTTGTACCCTTTAAATATGCCCTCTTTTTACCCTGATGGTACCTGACACAATGCAACTTGAGATTCATGAAGTGATTCATAGATAGAAGAGAATTTGGTGAGCAACTGGATCTTCCTCTGGCTGAGGTCTGTGTCCTGTTTTTCTCTCTTAATTCCAATTACCCCCTTGCCTCTGTAGCCTCAGAAACCCAGTTTCCTTTTCTTTCATCTATCCCCACAAATTTTACCATGACCATCTCACTAACAATACCACAGCACCTTTCCCTAAGTCCTTATTTATGACTTTACTTTCTTGTGCCACTACTGTTGCGGTTCTGTTTCCCATGAGCTCCGTGTAATTTAGATTCTAAAGACAGTAAAATATTCAAAAGAAATATTGATTGTGGTATTAAAGGTACTTTGACTCCCAGATTTCCTTTTTTTAAGGACTAACCCTCCTCCTAGCTCATGTCAGAGAATCATTCTTACTCTATAGAATCCTTTTTGTCCAACCCTGGATTCCCCTCTGTTTTTTAAAGATCATTTTTTTTTAAGTTGTGGATAGGAGTTTCTTTTCTTTACATTAGAGTAAAAAATTATTCTGTCTCATTAGAGCTCCCTTTATTTTTGTATTTTACCTAACTTCACATTTTTATTTACCTCTTCATTGTTCATCATTCTGCAAGTGTGTTATTTGTATGTTGTCTCCTGGCATGACCACCAAGCATGTCTAAAAATGAATAACAAGTCACATTTATGTAGCTCCTTAAAGTTTTAAAAGTGCCTCATTTATTACAATCTTACATGATAGGCTATAGGAGTATTACTACCCCCATTTTACAAATGAAGAAACAGATTCTGAATAAATATCTTGCTCATGGTCATATGGCTTAATAGAGATCTCAGAGGGGATTTGAAACTGGGTCCCCTGATTCCAAGTCCAACACTCTTTCCACTAGGTTACATTGCCTTTAAACATATGGACCTAACCCTAGTCATCTACTTCTTTGTTTTAAATCACTGACTTTTTTTTATAGTTTAATGTATTGATTGGATGGTAATGGAGATTTTCTACAAGAGCAGTTATTTAAATACGCTTCTGTCAAGATTCAGAAAGACTCAGAGCAAAGACATGAATAACTTATTATGCTTCTGTGTTTCTTCTTGAAGAGAGAAATGCTAAAAAACCTTTGGTTTATGCCTTGAGTGAGCCCCAGAGTGCACGTGGCTTTGGCCATGCTAGTGATAAGTGATATTTTCTGACAATGGCATGTACCATGAGCATGCCTTCAGGAAAAGAACTTGGACCCACAACAAAGTAATTTGTTATACTGTGAAGCAAATCATTGTGTTACTTAAAACTCATGAATAATAGTGGAATTGGCTTAATCTTAGAATCATTAAATTCAAAACATTTAAAAATCTTATAGTTGGGAGGAATCTTAGAGATTCTCCAGTCCAGCTAGAAAAGGGAGGAAAACTGAGACACAGAGAGGGGTAGTGAATCAGACTTGGAGGATCCCGGGTCTCCTTACCATATCTATCCAATTAGTGCTCTTTCCATTCTACCATAATGGTTCTCTCTTTAATTTAATACTAGTCCCTTACAATCCAGAAGGATTTTAGTTTGCTTACATCCCTTTTCTACCCTAGAGAACTAGTGCAGGTAGGTAAAGCTTTAATATTAATAATGTATATGATGATATTAACGATATTTATTCTTAAAATACTCTTTGTATAATACTGCTCCTATAGTATACGAATAATAAATTGAATGGAAGCTTTACATGACATGTGTTAACAGAATGAAAATGACTTCACAAAATGTCTGATGTGTGCTACCTTGAAGGCTTAGAAAAGAAAGACTTCAAGTCAGATAAAGGCCATAATGAGCAATATAAGAATGGAATTACCTTGAATGAAGGTAAAAGCAAGGGGGATTGGAAGTAAAGACAAAATCTGCAGGATGTAATTGTGATTCAAATAAAATTTAGCAGTTAGAGAAATGATCCTGAAGGAAAAAAAGACAGATGGCCAAATATAAAAGAGATAACATGTGAAGAATAATGCCATGGAGGTGGAGAAACAATTTTTTTGTCCAAGAATACAAAAGACAGATGGCCAAATATAAAAGAGATAACGTGTGAAGAATAATGCCATGGAGGTGGAGAAGCAATTTTTTTGTCCAAGAATACTTTTTTTTTTAGGGTTACAATTAATGTTGTCATTTAAAATGTTTGCCATTAAATTGGACCAGTATAATGAAAAATATTTCTCTGTAGATAAAAGCCAGATGGTAATACAGTGAAAGGTTAACTTTGCTTAACATCTTTCTGTACCTGTGGAACAAATCATTTGACATATTAACAGCCAACATATGGTTGGAAAACAAATAGAGGAAGTCCACATCAGCCATGTTATTGGTGTCAGTTGACCTTGGCTGGTGTGGTCTCTTAGGCCACCTTGTAGTAGAATGTGGGTTACCCCCATTCCCCATTTGAAGATGTGATTTAAGCTGTAGGGATGGAAAAAAACCCCAAGATCATAGAACTGACCCACACTGCACAACAATTCTCCAACGTAACAATCACTTTGAGCAGAGTTGCTCTTAACAAATCATAGGGTCACCTGGTATCACCTTAGTCAGGTTCTTTGTCCCTGCAAGGTTTAGAGTTGTGCGACAAATGAACCATTTGAATATCATCACTAGTTCCTTTGGTATTCCTCAATCCTCAAAAAGAGTTTTACTGCACAGAAAAAACAAAATAAACTCATGGAGAGGCTCTAGAAATCTGAAAAGATAAATAAAATATGTCATTTGAATTTTTAAAAAACGATATTAGTGACTTCATTTTTTATTTGGAATTAATTTAACTGTCTTCTATTAATGCTTTTTTTTTAAACAGATGTGTACATTGCAATGTTGTATACTCTGATGTGGCAGCCCTGAAGTCTCATATTCAAGGTTCTCATTGTGAGGTTTTCTACAAGTGTCCTATCTGTCCAATGGCATTTAAATCTGCTCCAAGTACCCATTCACATGCCTACACACAACATCCTGGCATTAAGATAGGAGAACCAAAGTAAGTTATATTAATTTGTGATTCTTCCTCTTTTTGATTATAGAAAGAGGTTATGACTGCTAAGTATGTTTAAGGATATTTGAAGATATGTTGATGCAGCATGAAATCTAACACATTGCTATTATTTTGCTATATGCTAATTGAAAGTTAATATTTTCTTGAATGATGAGCATAAATGATGTAATATGTTACATATACTTTTTTCATGAATGTATAACAAATAAGCAGGTTTTTAAAAATCATTCCCACCTCCTTCCTTTTTTAAAATTTCCTTCAATAAATAAAATTTGTTAGGAAAAGGAATATTTTAACTATACCTTTTACTTTTGGTATGATGAATTTCTAATCAGGTATCTTTTCATTTTTCCTTAATGAGAGATAATGGAAAAGAGTGGTGGGGAATGTTGCTTACTAAATTTTTTTTGTAATCTGTATAGCTTTGATGAGGTTATCATTTTGTCTTTGTCCTACCTATTCAGATATCCCAATTGTCTATGTTATTACATGGTTAAAGCCTGAATTTAAATTTAAATTTTCATATACAAAAGAATTGTGGAAAGTACTTGCTACAAGTATGTTATGGTAGGTTCATTCCTTTAATTATGTAGCAGGAGAGTTTTTTGCTTAGGGTTTGTAAACTTGGTTTTATAAAAATAATTTTGATAACTGCATTTCAGTACAATTGATTTCCTTTTGTAATCTTTGATATTTAATTTAAAGCATTTAAAAATATTATTCTGAGAAGAGATCCATAGGCATTACCAGACTGCTAAAGGGATGCATGATATAAAACATGTTAAGGACCCTTGATATCAATCAAAATATTTTACAAATCAAATCAAAGTCACATGAGAGTATCTGGAGGAAATAGAATGGAACTGCTTTATCAGCTGAGTGTTGAGTAGAGGACTAATGCCTTGTAGGCTAATCTTGTAGGGCTTTTGCTGTAGGGATTTGAGGGACATAGTTTGACCAGTAATAACTCTGATTTGATCTAGTACTGATTTGTATTATGAGAAAACTTTTTCTGGCTAGTCCAAAAGTACATAACCAAGAGAAGCTGCAAAGAGGCATGTTTTGGTTTGGTGTAAGGAAAAATTTCCTGATAATTAGAACTGTCCAGAAATTGTGTGGGTTGCTTTGATAGGTCATTGACCTCCCTCCTTGACAGTCTTTAAATGGAGATTGGATGACCATTGAAGGACCATCAGGTCATTCCCTGACGACCAGGGAATTAGGAATTCCCTGTATATGGATTAGATTAGATAGTAGCTTACATCCATTCCAATTCTCAATTATGTAATTTTGTAACTCTGTTCTCTTAATTCCTCCACTTTGATCTTTGTAAAGAGATATAGTGGCAAAGAAAGGCTACTTCAGAAGGAGTACAAAGTTGGCAAAGGAATAGTTAGTAGAAATTGAACTCCTGTCTCTCAAGATGTTGGTAAAATCACCACCATATTTAGTTTGCCATCTGCATGGCCATGAGGCTCTTAGGCATCCCTGCCATCTTATTGTTCCATTAAAAAGATGCAGTGTACACAACAACTTAATATTTTTAAATATCTAAAAATGCTACCCACCCATCTGTTGATGGAAAATCCAGGCTCATGTATATTTATTTGGGAAACTGGCTCCATAAAGATTGTGGGGGCAGATACCAATTTTCATGAAGACAGGCAAAGATTTCTAACCCACTTGATAAGCAGACTCAAAATGTTTACATAATTTTTTGAGCAGTGTTTTTTTAAGGAAGAAGGGAGACTAAAATTCCACATTTCATTCTTCTGTATCTTGGTAACCAGAAAAAGTGGACAATCACCACGTAATTTTATAGTAGTTTCTCATTGATCCAGGAACACTGGAAATTATGTATTTCCACATATGTTTGTTTTCTAAATAATTGAAACAATGCACTAGGCTTTTTACTTTCGTTGTTTGGGATACACTCATTCTCAAGTTCTGTTTTATTTTACCTTTTAGTACAGATCTGTAATTTCACTGATGTAGGAACTTCAGGTGAAATTACTCTCTCTTCCAATGCAAAGTGGTACCTGTTCTGCAGTTTATAGTCTTAAGGAGTTGTCTGAGTCAACTGACTTTCCCAGACTCACACAATTAGTTTATATAAGTGGCAGGCTCTAATCTCAGGTCTTCCTAACTCTGAAGTCCACTGCATCATGCTCACTTTCTAAATAAATATTCTTGGTGTTTCAGAATTATCATTATACATATCTGCTTTGGGGCTGTGAGGTAATGTATGTCTACATTTCAGGGATTTCCTCTAACAGCAATTCTTTGACACTTTCTAGTTCTAGTTTGTTGTTCTGTTTTCTGCTGTAAGTGGGGAAACCACATAATCAAGCTTATTAAAACTATGTGTTGGGGGCAGCTAGGTGGTGCAGTGGATAGAGTACTGGCCCTGGAGTCAGGAGGACCTGAGTTCAAATCCGGCCTCAGACACATAGCACTTACTAGCTGTGTGACTCTGGGCAAGTCACTTAACCCCAATTGCCTCACTATTACCCCCCCCAAAAGAAAACACCAAAAAAACCCCTATATGTTAAGTAGAGGACAGGAAAATTTTGAATGAGAACTTAAGGAATTAATTTTATAACTGATTTGGGGGCTTTGTAACAACCATGAGGCCTTCTTCATTTACTTTCAATTTGGGACTGTGTTTTAGAGGATTGAGTTTGCCAGAATCTAACCTCCAGATTAATGGGGACATTACTATTTTTTTCCCAAATATAAGATGTAAGTTGTGGTAGGGAACAAATACATATTTACCCATATGAAAATTTAAGGATCAGTTTTTCATGGGGTAAAAGTTGTAGTTATTATTAATATTATGCATTTGATTATAAATTCAAGGTGTTTATATTGTGTTTTGGTGAGGGAGGGAGGGTCTGGACCTGTGACTTCATTAGTGTAGGAGACTTAACAGTTTGGAAATTTTCTTCACTTACTCATATCAGCAACTCTCCAACTTATGGAGAGAGAATGTTCCAAGGCACTGAAAAGCTAAACAGTTTGTCTGTGGATCTATAGCTACTCTATTAGAGGCAAGAATGATCCTTGGTCTTCTTGACTTCTAATACGCTTACCTAATATGTCATTGTCTTAATGTAATATAAAATATTGTGTGACTCTCCAGAGGACTATATGCATCATTTGCTTTATTGATATAATAAAAAATTGGCAAGAACAGCCATATAATCACTATGCTAAATTGTCTATACAAATGACTGTTCTTAAAAAAAAAACCTGATGCTTAAAAAAAATGTTACAGTCATTTCCTTATGCCCATAAATGGAATATTATTGTATTTGGCTTTGGTGTATTACATTTATAGTGATTTCTTTTTATAACTGTTATCCTGCTAATTATGTTTTTCTTCAGGTATAATTAAAATTACTCTGAATTCCCTTTGCATGTACTAACTGAAGGCAGTGAGAAAAGGACCTGAAAGTCTTCTGGGTGTCAGGAACAAACCAGGATGATCTTGGGTCAATATATAAACTACATTTGTGTAACTGCATATTGTATTGAGGTTAATTACTGTAAAGGAGAATAAGTAGCTCTTTTTCTTTTATTGATGACAAGACAAAAAGAAATGGGTCTAAGCTTCAGATGAAGTGATTTGGGTTAGGAAGGAGAGAGAATATTACGCTATTAAAGTTGGTTTCTGAGGGAAGCTGTGGAGGTAGAGCTGGCAGATTACAATCTCTAGGGGTACTTTAAGTATTGTTCCGCCTGAAGATGGATGATAGAACACATGACCTCTGAAGAGCCCTTTGACTCCTGTGGTTCCATCATAAAATAAATTGGTCTTTGATTTAAAGCCTCGTGCTGTTGTTATCACTAAAGGAGGGCTGGGGGCAAATCCTAAAGAGAATTGTATAATTCATCCTCCAGATTCCATTCTTAGATATAGGTGCAAACACACTGTAATTTGTGGTACCTTTTTTGGGGGTACCAAAGCTAGTCTACCAAATTAGACAGGGACACTGTTACTGGAAAACTAAATACACAAAACAAATATTAACATCATTGCTACTCTTCATCTTATACTGCCCATAGCTCCTGGCATTGCTACAAGCACTTAATTCAGTAAATATTTGTTAGATTAATTTTTAATAGAGAAATTTATTAGCAAATGGAATAAATAACAAGGTATTTCTATAACCAATATCAAAACCTACGTCACCTCAAATCCTCATACATCAATAAATAATTCTTTTTCGCTTGTCTATATACTCAGTCTCAAATTATGCAACTCATTTCAGTTAATAAAGTCTATTAAACATCTTAATATTCCTGTCTTTTTAGTAATCACAGGAAAGTCAGGCTCTCTTAAGCTTGTCATTGAATTCTCTTTATAAACTTCTCTATAGGATTTCCTCAGAAAACAACACAAGGTAGTTCTTTTTTAAAATAAGTTTTTGTTGATCTTTTGGTTTTTTATCACTTATCATTTTTAAAAATTCAATTTTATTTTGTTTAAAATTCTTTTCTACTTGTCTTCCCTTCCTCTATCCATTGATAAAGAAAAAAAATTTATATATATATACATATATACATATATGTATAGTCATGCAAAACAGATTCTCACGTTTGCCATGTGCAGAAAATAAAGGAAGAAAATAATACATTTCAGTTTGTACTCTGAATCCATTAGTTTTCTATCTGGAGGTGAATAAGCGTGTTTCATTATGAGTGCTTTGGAATTGTGGTTGGTCATTGTGTTGATCAGTGTTACTAAGTCTTACAAAGTTGATTATTTTTTCAATATTACTGTTACTGTATAAATTATTCTCCTGGTTCTTCTCACTTCACTTTTCATCAGTTCACGTAAGTCTTCCCAATGTTTTTTGGAAATCATTCTCATCATCGTTTTTTACATCACAACAGTGTTCCATTACAATCACATACCGTAACTTTTTTAGCTATTGCCCAGTTGATGGGCATGTCCTCAGTTTCTTCTTCTTTGCCATTAA